CCCTGATGCTTTGCCAAGCTTGTTCTAAGTAGGTGCTTTAGACCACTGAGCCATCTCTCCAGCCCCCCAAATATATTTTAAAGAAAGTATTTGGCACGCCATTTTTTTGTTTTGTTTTGTTTTGTTTTTTTAAAGATTTTATTTATTTATTTATTTTGTGTGTGTGGCCAGCTCAGCCCACCAGGGGGCAGGGCTGGCTGGCATGTGGTGCTGGGGGATCGAACCGTGGTCCCTGTGCTTCGCCAAGCTTGTTCCAAGTAGGTGCTTTAGACCACTGAGCCATCTCACCAGCCCTGTTTTGTTTTTTTGAGACAGGGTTTCGCTGTTGTTCAGACCGGCCTAGAGCTCATTGTGTGGCTCAGACTGGCCTTGAATTTGTTGCTGCCTTCCTTCCTGGCCTTCCTAAGTACTGGGATTACAGGTGTGCACTATTATGCCCTCCTGGGCCTCTTAGAATAATTGGGCTTGTCAGCAGTAACTTAAAACTTTTGAAATAGGAAGCTTAAGAAGTTGTTTAGCACTGGGTGGCCAAAATTGAAAAGAAAGGCATAGCCAGGTGTGGTAGAACATGCTCCTAGCATTTGTAATGCAAAGCCAGAGGCAGGATTGCAAGTTTGCGACCAGCCTGGGTAGTGTAACAATTTAAAGGGCTGGAGATGTACCTGGGTGCAAAGGCCCTTGGTTCAGTCCATCTAGCTAAAGGAAAGGAGGGCAGGTGTCAGGGGCAGGTGTGGGAGGCCATGGCAGCGTCCAGCCTAAGCATTCTTGGCCACATTTTCCAGGTGTCTTGCTGTGGCTGGTCAACTTTACCATGTGCCAAAGTGGAAGATTTCCTGTCCTTACTTGCTGTTCCAGAAAGTGGTTGGAAACTTAACTGTTCCTTCTGGTGCATTTGAAACCTGATGTATTGCTATTTGAAGAGATATGAATGATTGGACAGCTGTAGAGTAACTACGTACACCATTCATTCATTCATTCATTCATTCATTTTGCAGTACTGGGGATCCCAAAGCCTTCTCATTGAGCTACATCCTCAGCTCATTTTTTATTTTGAAACAGGGTCTTGCTAAGTCATGAAATTACCCAGGCTTGGCTCAAACTTGTGATGTTCCTGCCTCAGCATCCCAGAGTGCTGTGATTGTAGGCCTTGGCCACCATGCCCGGCTGCTTGTCACTTGTAGACTCAGGAGACCTTAGTGGTCTCCTTTTGCCCATGGAGGGAGTACCGGACACCCTAGCCATGTACCCAAGCCTCTACACAGAAGTTTGTGTCAGCCACACTGGTTTTCCAGAAGTTGCCCACTTGTGCTTTCCATTTGCCTGTCTCAGGCTTTCATTTCAGGGGCCTCAGTCTCACTTTGTTATGTTAAGATCTCATTGTCCCTCAAAACCAAATGTGGATGTGGTCTCCTCCGTCTTTCACACTTGCACCTTTCTAGTCCCGTCCCACATACTGCCTAGCTGCCGGGCCTTTGACATTATCCAGCGAGATTGAGAGTAAGTACTCCTGGGCTGAATGATTTTCCTTGTGTGGTTTAAAATATAAATACAAATAATTCTTTTAGACCCTTAAATTTTGTTGGATGTGACCGTTGTCATGAGGTAGGCTCATTTACTGGCTGTTTGGCTTCAGCATGTAGCAGTAGTAGCCAGCTCTCACTCACAGGTCCAAATCAGATGACTCCCCTGTTGTTACTGTTGTTCTTTTAGAGCACTTGTAAGTCCTAGACTAGCCAGCATCTGCCTCTCTCTTTCTTATTAGAAAGCAAAACATGAGGCCTACTTTTTTTTTTTTTTCCAGTGCTGGGACTTGAACCCAGAGCCTGAGGAGTGCTAGGCAAGTCCTGTCTACCACTAAACTAAGTCCCCAGCCTGAAGGCTGCTCTAACTCCCCACCCATACATCCATAAGGTGAGTCTTGGTACACTTCTGCCAAGTGAATTTACCAACATACATTCTGTGTATAAATGTCTTCCTTGCTTCAGTCCAAAAGGAGGAGAAAGTTTCTGGACATTAATTGCAGCTTCTAAAGAGTTGACTTGAATGTACAATCCTTGGGTTACTAGCGGCTAGTTGCATTGTGTATTTACAAGCAAGTAGCCTTCTGACTTGTCTCTTAAAGGTGCACCTTTACGTAGGCTGGGAGGTGTAAGCAGGGCCACTTCCCAAACTGTGACCAGGCCAGAGACCAGGCTAGAGTTCTCGCCTCTGCTTAAAGCTAGGAGAAATACTGGAAAGCCGCTCCGCGGAGGGTGAGGTGATGACAAAGCCCATTGCTGGCCGGGCAGGGACAGCTGGCGAGCATCCAGGGGAAGGGAGACACGGGCAGGCTATTACGTCCTGCATGGTGGTGGGAACTAAGTGAGGGAGAAGAGTAAATGAACTCAGGAGGTCGTGACTATGAGGGGCTGTGTGCATGTGGAAAGGTGTAACTTGGGGACTCAGCACGTGGGAGCTGCAGTTACACGAGGACTTGCAGGTTCGAGCCTGGTCTACTGAATGTGCATTGAGACCATTTCAGTGGAGCAAGATTGGTTCAGGCTGGTGTGCGGGTTTGTGGAGACTGCCACAGGCTGGATGGACACACAGCCCTGAGCCAGAAAGACCTTGTGGAAGGTGTAGGCATGAGAAGAGGGCCAGAAAGGCAAAGTCCTAGAGAATGTCAGAATCAAGGTGGGTAAGGAAGAGGCCGCAAAGCGGACCAAGAGAGGTCAGAGACTGGAGAACAGATAGCCTCCTTGAAGAAGGGGGCTCCCTGCCTCCTTGTGAAGGAGCAAGTGCTCAGAGTGATTGCTTAGTCTTGGGTAGATCACTTAATGTCTCTGCCCCGGATTCCTTCCCTGCAGAAGGGAGTAATGACAGCACCTGGTGCATCTTGAGGGGACTAACAAGTAAAGGACTCTGGAAAGTCCTGGTACAATGTAGACATTCTCTAAGTGTTTTGAGTTATTGTTCTTTTTACCACCAAGTAATATAAAGGCTAAGAGACATCCGTGGGAATAGGTACCCAGCCAGTCATTAGGGAGCAGTGCCAGGGGCTTTCCAGTGGGGGAGGGGAGTTGAAGTTGGGCCAGACCAGAAGAGGTTAGAGGGTGAAAGCAGATGAGACAAGCAGTGAATTCAGCGTACTGAAACTCCACAGCGTGCTGTGGAGAACAGGAGTGAGAATGAGAGCGGTATTGGGCTAAGTGTGCGGTGGGGACGCTGATGACAGGGTGCTATGGGAGTGAGGGCCAGGGGAGAACTTGAGCGTGTTTGACTGCTTAGGAGGGGAGCGTCAGATAGTGGTGGCTCCAGATCTGGGAGGTGCTGAGATCAGGTCCAAGGTGGAGGACTTGCTCTGAGTGAAGGAGGCCTCATCTTCCTTGGGCATGAAAACAGAGGCAAGGATGGGAGGAAGGCGGGTGGGTGTGCTCAGGGGCAGAGTTTGAGGGGCTTCCTGCTTGCCAGTGCATTTTGGGGAAGTAGGTCAGATGGTTTTTGGGAGAGCAGCAACAAGTTGAAGTAAGGAACAGGAGGCAGGGGTAACGGTCAGCTTGCTGGGAGGGGCTTTGGAGCAGCTGAGAGACACATGTACTGACACCAGGTCCCACAGTCTAGGGACTTACGTGCCACGGCTACGGAGCACAGGGCACGGAGCTGCTGAGGTTTTGTTTTATGGAGCCAAGCACAAGCTCTGGAGCAAAGGAGAGGGCAGAAGTGCCGATCCCGGGGCTGGAGGTTCTGGTGAGAAGTCTCGTGAGAGGGCGGAAAGTGGTAGAGAAGTGGGTTCCTGGGTGTGGATGGCAGAGGTGGAAAGCTTTTTCTGATCACTGAAGTCCAGAGGAGACCAGGCCCCGGGGTGACTGGAGGAGGCGGCAGTGGGGAACTGAGGTCGTGCCAGTCTGGGGGCAGGAGGAGGCGGGGGGTGCTGTCTCCCAGGGACTGTCAGAGTCACCAGAGAGTCACTAGGGAATGCCTGAGCAGGGAGATGAGTGGAGCACAGCCAGCAGGACAGAAGGGGCAGGCGACCATTCCTCCAGGGCCCGGAGGCTCTCATGGGGTGGGGGGGCTGCACTTTTACGAAACCAGCAGATTTTAATGACAGCAGACTATATGACACGTAAAACCTACAATATTTACTACGTGGCCCTTTACAGACAATGATAGAAATGAAAGAAAACCATTAAATTACTACAAAACAACATGGTGGCGTTTCCATTTCAACTTGGAAAATGTTAACCTGGTGACTTAGTAGAAGGTAAATTTGATTTGTAGCATTTTCTTGATTGCGAATGAAGGAGTATAAATATGTTCAAGCAAAGAGATAAGAAAATGATCTGGAGGCCCAAGGATATAGCTCCATGACATAAGCTCCTGCATGGCATGCACAAGGTCCTGAATTCGATCTCTGGTACCGCAAAAAAAGAAAAAGGATTTTTGTTTTTTTTGCTCCGAATGCCTTCAGGGCAGGTTTGACTGCCTGGAGATGTGGGGATCGAACCACAGCAACCTGAGCCTGACTGCTTTGTTAAAGCAGCCACTTAAAGAACTGAGCTAAGGGGCAGCCCCCTCCCCCCCCACAAAAAAAGAAAATGATCTGGAGAAATGTTAGCCTTGAAAGGGGAATAGGACAGCAGATTCCACAACTACATGGTTAGTAGTTGGAGAGGAAACAAAATCATTCTTCCAAATTAAAGCTTATAAGAAACAGAACTACTAAACTTGAGGAACAATTATTGTAGGCCACTTAATAGCCAGAATTAAAATTTTAGTGTTCAAAGCTGGCAGATCATACTTCAGAGGTGGCTACGTAAATTATAAAGCCCTGTTTAGATTATTCATTCAGCAAAGAAATAATTATTATTTATCTTGGTGACAATTGTTAGGTCACTGAGGAAATGTGTAGCTTTTTTGGAAGCAGTTTATTGCTCATTTTGGTAATCTTGAAAGTGAACCATAAATGTTTCCCCTTGAGAATTTACTTTATAGAAATTATGCATAGGAGGGAAAAATAACATCCCCAAGAGTATTCCCTGGCGTTGTATCATAACAGGGTGTTGGGGAGGCCAGAGGGCCCAGGAGTAGGAAGCTTGTTAATTACACTATGGGTGCATTGCTTTGTTGAAATTGGATAGAGACATTAACTGTGAAGACTGGAGTGGAATGCGGAGATTGGGCATGGAGACGTAAAAGTGACATACGTACTTGTTAAATGTGGGCCAAATGTCGGGCAGGTGGAGCACGCCTGTAATCACAGGAGGCTGAGGCAGGAGGATTGCAGTGAGTTCACCAGCCTGGACTACATGGTGAGTTCAAGGCCAGCTTGAACTACATAGTGAGATCTCATCTCAAAAACCAAAGAGGTGCGGGGAGGGCAGGCGGGCAGAAGGACTTAAAGGAAACATGGGGAATCAATGGTTGATTATAGTAGGATAATTAGGTTTTAAAAAATTCCTTGTGTCAGGTATTAAAATGCTTTGGCAAGAAAGTCTGTTTTCTTTAAACTCTTCTCAGGGGGGCCTGCCCCTTAGCTCAGT